AGAGGCAGGTGGATCTCTGTGAGCTCAAGGCCAGCCTGGTCTACAGAGAGAGTTGCAGGACAGCCTCCAAAACAATACAGAGAAATCCTGTCTCGGAAAAAAAAAAAAAAAAGAAGAAGAAGAAGCAAGCTAGCCAACTTCCTGCTAAGTATACAGATCAAGAAGGAAGTCTGAAGAGATCCTGGAGAACAGAATTTGAAGTCTCAGAATATAAAGGACTCTAACAGTCCCAGGCATGGCAAACAATAATGGTGGGTCTTCCCTTTCACCACCCTTGATAACTCATTAGATTACATTCCTAAAGCAAGTCACTAAGGGTCATTCCCTTAGCTGGCTACTTCCTTATGCCAGACTCATCCCTGAGGCTGAACACCAAGATCCAACTATCAAAATTCATCAAGGACCAACAATCAAAATTCATTATTTGGCTATATTAACATATCCAATCAAGACTTAGAACTCACTCTAGCACAGACTCCCCCTTTTTCTACTTAAAAACCACTCCTGCAAAAACAAAAACAAAAAAACAAAAACAAAAAACCCACCTGCTACTGTTTTTGCCACATCCACAGGCAGCCACCCCCACCCCCTCATCTCCAAATCCCTTGTCACCTCCATGGTAATAAAATCTTCTTTGTGCTGAGAATATGGTACCTGGGTATGTTCTGTGCTAACTGAGGTTCCTTCAGGAAAGAACAAGTTGATAGTACCTTATTAATGAACTCCTCTACACTAGTTCTACTGGCTCATTGTACTTTCTGGTACATAGGGGAAGAAACAACTAGTACAAAAAAAGGAGATTATAACTAAAATAAAGCTGCACAGGGCTAACCACTTCTGTAGTCTGACAGGAACTCCACTTCCCACCTTCAGCTATTCCAAGTCACAGAAAGGTATAGACATAAATTGCGTCCACCCTGTTTCCATGCCTTAATCAGGAACAACAATATCAAACTTCCCACACTCATATTCATTTTCCAACTGTCTTCTATGATGCCATCTTCCCTCAGGTCAGAGTCTGAGTTGAGTGTGGTGGTGCACACCTCTAATTCTAGCACTGACAGGAGGATCTTCACATGTTTGAAGACAGCCATGTTCCACCTAGTGAAGCCCAAGCCAGCAAGACTACAGAGCAAGACCTTGTGGGGAAAGAAAAAAACACCAACATCAAACAACTGAAAAAAACGGACCGCAAAGATCTAGCTACACTTCAATGTTAGAAAAAAGCACGACGCAATTTATGGCAGACTTTCTTTTAGGCCACCAACCAGCTCCCAAATCTTGACTCAGAGACTTACTGTTAGTTATGAATGCACAGGCTATCATATGCTTATTCCACTAGCTCTCACAACTTAACCTGTTTCTCTTCATCTACATGGCCTCAGGGCTTTTTACATTTCTGTCTGTTCTACTCTGTGCCTAACTGTTGGTTGCCTAGCTATCCCCACCACAACCACTACCAACACCACCAACACCATCCCGACCCCCGCGTCTCCCTCATTCTCTCTTCTACCTCTCTGGAGCCTAGATTACTCCTCCTATTTCTCTTTGCCTGCCAGCCCCACCTAGCCCATCATACCACAAGACAACACACTGGGACCTCAAAGGTCTGCCCTCTAAAACCTGCAATGGCACTTCATCAAGAGGACTAGCTTAAAGGGATAGTCATCGTGGAATGTGGAGGCCCAGAGACGCACCTTCACAGAAATCATGGATGAAGAAAACCTGTATGGTTTTACTGTCCTTTCATGTCATTAGTCTGGTACAGCCTAAGTGAGGAGAAGCATAGAGGAGGCAGGTACTAAGTAGAAACATAAGTTAGGGGCTGTCAAGTCAGAAAACAGCATGGATCTTTAACTCTCTGTCTCAGAAGGCTGGAGGTGGAGGTCATGTGATTTCTTCAAGCTTGTATCTTGAGTGCTTCTAGAGACAAGCATCATAAAGGAACAGGCCCATGATCTAATAGCACAGAATACAGTAATTCCCTAAAAGGTGATTCTATAATATAAAACGTTCTTTATATATCATTGTCATATTTAATTGTAAAGACAGTAAATGGCTTTACATTGCTTACAGTAAAAGAACATTCTCAAAAAGCAAGAAATATTTACTAGCAAGGATTACAGCATTCATAACTATTACAGAAAATGTTTATATTTTGAGAACTAAATATTGAGAATTAAATAGTAGTAGATAGGTACCATTTGTTTATAATTATTATTTAATAAAACTTTGTTCTAAGTTAAAATGACAGAACACAAGAGTAAGGTCCAGTCTCAGGCTTTGGGCCAATTCTACCTACAATCTCAGTAGAGTTGTTGCTTTTAAAAGGTCATTTCTGAAGTGAAAATGAGCAAAAACAAAGATTTAGTTTGGGAAAGTGATTTTACTTAATATTTATTTATTTATTGGTTTTTTTGAGACAGGGTTTCCCCATGTATCTTTGGAGCCTGTCCTGGAACTAGCTCTTGTAGACCAGGTTGGTCTCGAACTCACAAAGATCTTCCTGCCTCTGCCTCCCAAGTGCTGGGACTAAAAACATACGCCACCTCCGCCTGGCAAGTGATATTTTTTTTAATTGGTTGTTCAAGGCAAAGAGAGTCAACAAAATGAGAAATCACAAAGTATGTTTATAAAGACTTGGAATAGCATTAACTAGTGTTAATTATGTTACAGAAATTAATTTTAGTAGTTTATTTGAACAAAGAAAAAGAAAATAGCATGAGAATCAGGTATCTCCCAAACCAAAGTAAGTTCTAGAACTTTAACAGTGTGGTCTGAAAACATTTACAGAAAATGGAAACAGCATTGAAAACACGCTATTGGAGGCAATATAATCAACTAGCCAACAGGCTGCAACCTCGTTGCAAGTTATTGGATTTTATTACAGGACCTCTGGAACAATGTTTAATTACTGTGATTAAACTTTACAGTAGATTAGCTTCTGCCCACTGGTGTACATTGGTGTACCCAGTTCAGATCCATACACAGTCTCTGACAAACTTGTCTTAACACTAAGAAGCTATCAATTTCCTAATTGCAACCACTCTTTGGACTGACAGGTCTATTTACCCAAACTATTTTAACTCTCTAAATGCTGTAAACAGTATTTGATCACAATAAAGATATCTGGATGTATACATTATTGAAAACATTAATAGTCAATTCACTTGTAATCGGGCATAAACTCCACATAGTAATTATCCTAATTTCACTTTCAATATGAAAGTAAAATACAGCAAAAAATGTATCCCCCGCTCTTTTTTGACAAGTCAAAACAATTTAAACATTTACCCTTCCCACTCTAGGAATTCTGTATAACTGTAACTTGCAATGTGTAGCTTTTTTCTGGTGCCCTATATTTTTTATCAATAGCAATCAGTAGTTAATTGCCTCAAGAGAACACAGCTCTACTCTTACTCTGTAACAATTGAAAACCTACCTATGATCATCAGCCATTTAAGAAACTACAAAGAAAAATGCAAAAAAAATTAATAGAGCTCATTAAACCTGAGGCAATGGCCTGATCAAACAGCAAGGGAGCAATATTGAGCAAGTTCTGCTACTGGATGTTAAAATATTAAAATTTTAAAAGCCTGTTTTGATTAGAAGAAAACCAGACAGGGAGCCTAAAAGTATTTTTATAAAAACACTGTATCGTCAATACCTTTAAATGTCATTATATCATGACTAGTGGTTTGTTTTTTGTTTTTTTTAGGTTAAAGGACAAGTTTCGAGCACACCAAAGAATTTCCCGCCCGAATGTTCCTGGAAATACAAGTGGCTTCGCATAGAGCATAACATCGTTTCAAAACTAGGTACATCAAAACAGATGGGAATACGTGTTAACTTCATGTTAGTATTACCGTTTAAAATTACTCTTTGTTGTATTTGTGGGAGGGGAAGAAAGGAATGGCTCTCAGCAAGGTATTTATACGAGGTATTTAACATCAGCGCTTTCCACAGTAGCCAGAACTAACAGAGGCTTCTCTTTGCACAGTCCTAAGTTCAAGAACCAGAACCAAATTTAAAAAAAGAAACTTTCTTACTTTAGCAAGATGGTACGTAAAAGCTGAATTCTGACGGGCGGGGGGGGGGGGACCCTAAAGAGAAAACTTTTTGCCTTGGGTCAGAAATGATGCCTCGGAAATCCCTAAGTCCTAAGGGTTCCCTAATTAATCACATCTGAAGTCCAGACTTCTAGCGGTTTTGTTTGTGCTTGTTTTTTTACACGCTACAAAACTGTGCGCTTAAAACAAACAAAAAAAAAAAAAGCAAGAATTGCATGGTGTCTCACGCCTGTAACTCCAGCACTCGACCAAGAGCTCAAGGACAGGCAGGGCTACAAAATAAGACCGTCTCCAAAAGTAAGAAATAAACAGTAAAAAAAAAAAAAAAAAAACAAAAACAAAAAACAAAAAAGTCCAGACCCCAATGAACATCCCGGAAACGGGCGGAAGTCACAGCCAAACACCAAGTGCACGACAATCGGCGACCTGACACCTCTACGCTGCAGCAAGGGCAGCACTCACCCAGCGTTCGCCGGGGAAACGCAGACCGCGGGGGTTTCGAAGACGGCAGCACGACCCCAGGCTCGCTCTGCAGTCACTGACTTAACGTCTCGCTAAGCAGCCACCGTGCGCGCTGGGCGCCGCCATCTTGACGCTAAGAGGCCCGGGCCCGAGGTCCCGGCGCCGCTCGCCCAGAGCGAAGCCGGTGCTCCAAGAAGTCGCTAGCTAGTCAACTCCGCACCTCTGGCACTGACATCCCCCCGGGACGAAACGATACCTATTATCTCAGGGTGACGACCAGGAGCAGCCAAAGCAAATTCACCCTTGCATTCGCGCACAGCGGATCAGGCAGCGCTGAAGACAGCCTCACCGGCCAGGGAAAGGGCGGCGGCGCGCGCTTCGTAACCCGGGCAACCGAGCCTGGGCAGGTGAAGGGGGCGTGGTGTCCGAAGACGCCAAGGTCTCGGCCACGCCCCCGGGCGGTTCGGAGGGGTGCAGGCTGGGGAGGCTGCGAGCGAGCCGCGGCGTGGTGTGCGAGCCGGTGAGCGTCCTCCCGAGGAGTGTGCCTGGGCCTGGACGGCCTGGCCTCCTGCCGCTGGAACAGCCTGTGGGGAGCCCCGAGCCTCCCGGACGCGGGCGACTCCCCTTAGCTGCCCGCCGCCCTGCCTGCGCCGCCTCCTCGCGCGCGTGGGACTCTCAGGCCCCGAGCCAGGCCGAGCCTCTGCTTGTGCTTTCCCGCGTGCTGTCTGCATCGTCTGACATTTGGGTTGACGTAACCTCGGCACCTCCTCGAAGAAGGACCTGTTTGTTGTTATTAGTTTATTTTTTCGTTTGTTTATTTGTTTGTTTCCAACATGGCAGCCTCCAGCCGCGCACAAGTGTTAGATCTGTACCGGGCGATGCTGAGAGAGAGCAAGCATTTCAGCGCCTACAATTACAGGTGACCCGGGGAGAGGGTCGGGAATGGGGTGCCCGGGGCTGTCTCCAGAGCTCGCGGAACAGGCGCTCACAGCTTGCTTTAGTGATAGGCTCTGCCACCCTGACGCGCACGTGCTGCTGCCCACCCCCAGGTGTGACCCTCAGAGCCGGGGAGGGGAGGAGCCTAGGGCTTGCCCTTCAAATTCTGGGACGTCTTCTCTGAGCTGACTGACACTCGAGTTGGTGCTTTAGGACCCTGCGTCAGCGTCTTGTTTCTGCGGTACGAAACAATGGACGTGAAGCCGCAAGTGAGAAAAGTTAGGACAAGCAAGCATGTGCCATACATGAAACTTGCCCTGAGAATGCGAGTGGAAGCAGTCGGTGGGGACCACGTGGCCACAACGCCGAAGGCCCCCCTTTCATTTACACTGGAGTTTGGTTCAGGTGCCAGATGCATTGTAATTAGAGCAGCGTTTCTCAACCTGTGGGTCCGGACCCCCTTAACAGTCAAATGACCTTTTGACAGAGATGGCCTAAAACCATCAGAAAACACATTAACATTATGATTCGTAACAGTAACAAAATTACAGTTATGCGGCAGCAATGAAAATAATGTTATGGTTGGGGGTCACCACAACATCAGGAACTGTATTAACGGGTCACAGGAAAGTTGAGAACCACTGAATTAGAGGATGAAGGAGAGGAGGTACATATACAAGGAGTGTCGAAGGTAAAAGGCGTTGCTAAGCCTTCAGAAACTGGAATGTTAGTTTATCTTGCCTCGACAGACCAAGATCTTCCCCTCTAGGACCTTTAACAGCAAGAGGACAAGAGCATCATTCTTCAAAAATGAAATATAAAGCTTGAATTTATGTTAAGTTATACATAAACACACAAACTATACGTGTTAATGAGGTACCATGTGTGCCCTTCACTCTCAAGCAATAAAACTCTTTCACATTTTTAAGCCAGCCCATTTTTTTCCATGCATGGCCCATCCTCCTGCTTGTCTGGGTCCCTTATACTTGATAGGAAGGTCTCTACCTCACAGCCCCCACCTCCTCGACTTCTGCTTCTTGGGTACCTCTGACCCAAGATTTCTATAGGGCCCTCTGGTTTTCTGAGATGGGTGTCTTGTTGATTAATTACCTGAATCCTCTGAGATTGAAGCATAGTCCTGAGAACAAGAATGAAAGCAGCTCATTTTTCTTTAATGGGTTACTTATTTACAGTTATTTCCCGAGTGTCCAGATTATTTCACAAGCTATTCTTCACTTTATCATTTCAGACATTATCGACATTGTGCCCTTAGGTGACTGGCTAGGCTGTGGGCTGGGTGTCCTGGTGTCAGCTATCTCCTGAAACAGACCTGGTTCTAGGAGCACCCTCCTCTAGGAATTAATCTGCAAGGTCCTGTGCTGGGCAGGCTGGCTGTGCACAACCTCAGTCTGTGGGCAGATGCACCAAACTTCTCCAGCAATAATCCATATTTTAGAAACCTTAGAAACTATACTTCTCCTATCAACTTGAGAACAGCGTGGGTTGTACTAGTGCGTTCATACCCAGTAAACACATGGTTAAATGAAACATGGTTTCACTTGATAACATTGGGTTTGGAGGATAAAGGGTATACACACTATACCTACAGGTGAATTTTCCATAAATACCTAGTGCTTACAATTGATGAGCACAGGAAATATGGAAGTAACTACTTGGAGTGTTCCCTACAGTCTAGAGCATGTTCTTTCTCAAGAATAAACATGGATGGAATAAACAGAGACTAGCTCTCAGCTGAGGGGCACACTAGAGGACACACCTGGGAACAGATTGAAAAGACACAGGAAGCAGCCCTTGTAACCTTAGTGTTACTTGGCCTCTGGCATTCAGTTTTCCTCAAGGCAAAACTTAAGTCATTGGACTAGACAGCCTCTTAAGAGCCCTTTCATTTCTAAACTCCCATCTGGAAGTGACTTAGGAGCCAATCAGTACACCAAAGTTTTCCAAGTCCATAGGAATAGACAGAAAAACCTAGGCTGTGCCTTACAACAATTTAAAACTGAGATTCTGCATAAGCAACTACTTGCTGATATTCACTCAGAGAGTAGTCTGTGACTCACACCAGGTGAATTTTCAATAGGAATCTGGTGGTCACTTACCAGCTACATGTAGCCAAAACCTGAGAACTCTACCCGTGGTATCATGACCCACAAAAATAAGGCTTGCTTCATATAATGTATGTCTGCCTCTGGCCTAGAGAGATAGCTCGGTGGTTAAGAGCACTGGCTACTCTTCCAAAGGACCCAGGTTCTGTTCCCAGCACCCACGTGGCAGCTCACACCTGTCTGTGACTCCAGTTCCAGGGAATCTGGCATCCTTACACCAATGCACATAAAATAAAGCTAAATAAAGTATTTTTTAAAAACAAATTAAAAAATAGCCACTTCCCTCCCCTCTCAACCCAGCACTGTTTGTCATCATGGCTCTCACTGAGAGTATCCATTGATCACATCTATGAGGCACCATTTTCTATTATTTATGTTTCTTAGCAAATTTATTTTTGACAACCTCATGAAGTACTATTTTTATGATCTAGTCAAAACCAAGCACTAGAGATCCTAACCTATCATGAAGCTAATGCCAGATGACCAATCCAGTGTGGAGCCAGCACATGTGGGACAGAACTGTAATCCTGACTCTAGGAAAGCAAGAAGAGTTCTAAGCCAGTATGATCTATGCAACAAGTTCAAGGCCAGCGTGGGTTACATGGTTCTCTGTCTCAGAAACAATATGAAAAAAAAAAAGAAGCAATGAAAAATTTTTAAAAACCTGAAAGTTTTGACGCCTAAAATCATCACAGTATTGAAATATTTTGTAAGAGCTACCCTAGGCATCTTTTGTTCAATAGCATGGCCTGCCTCTCCAGGTTTTATCCCAACACCAACACATTCCCTCTGCTTTCTCTCTCTCTCTCTCTCTCTCTAACTCTCTCTCTCTCTCTCTCTCTCCCTCCCTCCCTCCCTCTCTCTCTCTCTCTCTCTCTCTCTCTCTCTCTCTCTCTCTCTCTCTCTCTTTCTCTCTCTCTCTCTCCCTCTCCCTCTCTCCCTCTTCCCATATGGCCAAAGTGAGTTGGAATGAGCTTTTGACTTTCTAAAACAATACTGAGACAGTGACTCAGTGAGGCTCCAAGTTCAAATCCTAAACACACAGGGGAAAAAAATGAGCTGTAGTAGCATGCATCTATAATCCAAGCACTGATGAGGTAGACAGAGGAGGGCCCCTAGAGTGCATGGGCTAGCCAGTCAAGCCGGTTGGTAAGCTGGGTGGGGGAACGGGTTAAAAAGAAGTCCTTGAAGCCAAATAGTCTTTCCCCTTAGAACAAACTAAGAAATTCCTAATATTTCTTAAACGTGTGTGTGTGTGTGTGTGTGTGTGTGTGTGTGTGTGTGTGTGTGTGTGTAACTACAAAGGACCTAGGAGCTAGGAGTAGATAGAATCCAAACATAGGATGGTCCTGTTTATGGTATGGGTTGCACATAAGGACTACTTCAGAAACTAGCAGAACAAACAGGAAACATGTGCCTGAGTGTTGAACTGCAGCATGTAAGGTTTCCAGGAGACACTTCATATTGATAATTTAGCTGCTACTTGTTACATTGCTGTAAAAATAGGCTTCAATAATATTGTGATGTTCATTTCAACCCTTAGGGCATAACTCAGCTCCATTTTTATCTTAATTCTGTTATCATTTCTTCCTTAGAAACTGATGCCCTTCCTTTCTATAAGGGTAACCTTGGCTCTATTGTCAAACCACAGATTCCTGCTACACAGCAGTTGCTGGTAGTGGGAAACTTCCATCCTTCTGGTCTTCTTCACCTCTTCCCCCTTGACTGAATTAGAGCTCCCCAAATGCCATTAGTGAATATGGTAGTGTTCATTATGTGTTCTTGCTGCTGTTTTCTGCCTTGTCTGGATGCTAAGGACTTGTGCCCCCACATATGACAGGCTCATACTTCACCCTGGGTTACAGTCCTTACCCCTGGTATGTTCTTAGAATTGTTAGGTTGTTTTCTTTTTCCCTTCACTTTAAAAAGGGAAATCCCTTTTCCCTCCCTTTAAGTCTTGTAATAATGCTTTTCAGACATACGTAAATCATGACTTACTAGAGAAGACAAGATTCTCTTTTAAGCAGTCAATTAAAATTTTCCTGTGAAATGCTGATCAAATCATACTTCTTGGTGAAAACTACCTTTTCTATTGTAAGATGTACAACAGCATCGTTTTTTAAAAGAAAATCATTGCTTTATCAATTTTCTATGTTCCTTGCAAAATATGCTTTAATATTTATTCTGAGTTCATGCAGTTGAGCTCATGTATACATAGCCTGTGGCACTTTGTTAGGAAGAATTCTTGTGCTGGCCCTTTTTGTGGTACTCCACAGACAACTGGAGGCAATTCATACGTGCTTAAAAATGATTGCTTAAATTTGTAAAATATTAATTATTAGTAAACATGGCTGAAGTTTCCAAAACCAGTGGTTTTTGGGTTTTTTTGTTTTTGTTTTTATTTTTTGTCTTACAATTGTTGAGTTTTGCCGTATGGTTAATGATTTTGAAAAATAAGTTAAGATTCTATAGTTTGTTGTAATACTTTGAGAAGATCGCATCCATCAGCTAAATTTGGGGAGATAAGGTGCATCCATTTTTCCTCTAATCTGAATGATAACAGGAAGTAATTTGAAAGTATTAGATTCATAGCTGGAGATGTAGCTCGGTTGGTTAAGTTTTCCCAGCATGCACAACACACATATAAATGCAGTTTAATTCCTTACAATTTCAACATTTAACAAATGGAGGCAGGAGGATCAGAAGTTCAAAGTCATTCTCAGCTACATAGCAGAATTCAAACCCTCATTAGGATACATGATACCTTACCTCCAAAACAAAAGTATTAGATCTATGTGTGCCACTGCTGACTTTTGTTTTGCCTTTGAAAGTTTTTCCAAGTTGTATTTATTCTATCTAT